CAATAACATTGTTGCTTATGAAAACACAGACCCTCATGTGCCTCAGGTGCCACATTTAGATTCTTAACTGTGTTGTACTTTCCATTTACATCTTGCCCATGTCTGGCACTCTGAAGTGTCATGAGGAGACTCCAGCTGTAGGGTTGGGATTGAAGTGCTGTGTCAGCAACACTTCTTGTGGGTTATCTAAAATAGATATATTCTGATTTCACACCTTCTTGGTTATGTCTCTTTGTGAAGCAGAAAAGTGTTAATGCAGCAGAGTCCAGTTGCCAGCTCAGTGTAGGAGTTGAAATGGGATCAGAAGTCTCTTGGTTACTTCCCCTCTTTTCATTTCTACAGAGCTAGTATAGGTGAATCTGCTTTCTGAGCTGGTGCTGGTAAAGTACAGCTGGCTCTTAATGAATAGAGGTCATAGTGCCAAAAAGCCATCCTGCTTCACATTAGGTTTTTTTCCCACTCCTGGAAAAAGGAGGAAATTTCCAAGCAGAAGGAATATTTGCAGAATGTTTTGTAGTTTATGTTATACCTTCCTTTCTGGAATATTTTAAAAATGTGTCTAGCAGGTGCAGACATTAAATCAAAGGGTAAAAATTTAAAGAAAATCTCTAGTAACTAGTAAATATGTATTTCAGTTTACTTAACACCTGCTCAAATCTCTGACAGCTGAAATCAGAATGCCTATTAGGACAAGATGTAGTTTTCATGTCTTTCTCAGCTGAGGTTTGTTGTAGAAATGGGACCAACTATTCTGTCTTTCTTCAATCTCTCTTGCTTTTAAAGACCCACAGCTTACTACTATAGGTAGAAGAAATCAAGTACTGGGATATATTCTTCTGGGAAAAACCCATAGTAGATTAATCTGGTATAGGATGCTGAGGGCTTTTCTGAGGAATTCTTTTTTAAAAACCCAATTTGCTACAGTCCTGCCACCAAAGTCGAGGTGAAAATATCTCTGGGTAAGTTCAGTTATTTGCATAGTCTGCTAGACTGGAAAATTAGTAAGTTTTATAAACAGTAAAAATATGAGAAAAGCATCAGCTTTTACTATGCTATTTGCTAGCATGCTTTTCTGTTTTTATAGGTGGCTGTGTATGTAGGTCTTGCCTTTGGAGCATTTTGTATTCAAATAAAATTAGTCTTGAATTACAAAAAAGCTATAATATTGTGTAACATAAATTGGCTTCTACAGCCACTGTGGCTAAGAGTTTTAAGGTTCTCTTTGCTTCCTGACTTGCTGATGTGTAATTCCAACCTGCTAATGCTTATTTCACTTTAGACTTGCGCTCAAATTTCATATCCTATTACGCAAATATGTTGTAAAATATTCTGAATTGTTTTCTAAATGAACAGAATTGGCAGGAATTTTACAACTGAATGAGGGCTTTAAAGTCTAGTTGATTAGTAAGATCTTGCCCTGCTAATTAAGTCTCTATTTTTAAAGTTATTCTAAACAGAAATTTTTCTCTTGTGTCTTTGATGTTGCTTCTTAAGGAGAAGAACTGCAACCCTCTGGAAGGTGGGAGGATGGTTTACCTTGCAAATTCGTGCTGGAATCAAAACTGCTGAATTAACAGTTATGTTACTATGTTGAAAAAGTTATCAGTGGAGAGACTACTTTATTACACAAAACCAATAGTTGAGGGTATTTAGACAAGAATTACAGCTGATTTTAGAAAACAAGCAAACTACTTTTTTGTCTTTTTTTAGGAATTTATTTTACCAGTGAAAGACTTGCAAGAGAACTTTTTCAATAGCTTTTTGTATGAAACATTTTGGTATGAAGCAAAATTCAAGAAGTTTACTTTTTCTGTAAGTCACAAGCCTTGTAAGTCTACTTCTTAAAAGGTATAAATATGATTCCAAGTATATCCTAAGACAATTCTCCCACAAAAGATGTGAGAAAATACTGCTAAAAATGATGCCAAAGTTTTACTGGTCTAACAGTAAAGAACTAAAAGCATTGTAAAACTGAAGACTGTTTCCTTACAGTAATGATAAAGTAATTTAAAAGTTGCAGACCACAATTGCAGCCATATGACTGCCATTCATTATTTGCCTTAAACAGGAATTTAGCAAACTATAAACAAGTCTGCACCATTGATTGCATGCATACTTGGCACCTCTGTAATTTGCATTGTATATTGCATATTTCTGTAACTTCTATAATTACCACAACTGGAACTTACATTTTATTTTAGAGGGCATGAATATTGGTGGTAAATATGTATAGTTGACTTTATATGTGTAATCGTAATTTTAAGCATATGTATTATTTTGCACATGACTGTGGTTGTTAATCCAGACCACTTAGTAATGTGATTTACTGAATGCTTGTTCCAAGGTGGACTTGTAGGAAATTTGTTTAGCAAGGCACTGAGGGGCTAAGGAAGCTGAACATCCACGGTTTAATTTTGTCTCTTTGTAATTATGAAATCTGATGGAACCAACAGATTCTTCCTGGTGGTGGTAAAGAGTCAGTGTGGGGAAGCTGATTTATTTTTGTCCTGTGGACTCTGAAATGAGGCTATTGAAGCACCAGAAGACTGAGTGGTGCAGCCAATTATTATCTCAGGAAGGAACACTTAGAGGAAACTCAAGGTGGTGCTTTTAAGGACACCAACTTGAACAGGAAGAAGTTAAGGTGGACAGCAGCAGTTATTAAGATGAAGTCTCCTCTGTCTGGGGGGTGGGGGAATGAGAGAAATCTCATGGGTGGAGAAATAAGATGCTTTTCAAATATCTTCTACTGTGTTCAATAAATCTGAACTTTCTGATGTCCGAGGACCGAAGTCTGTCTCAGTGTCCCTGAAATAAAACTGCACAATCTTCTTTTAAATTTGGTTTGTGGTGTATTGTTGTTGTTATTGGTGAGGCTTTTGTTTAGGTTTTTTTTTCCCCTCCAGATCCTCAGTGAAATGCTCCTTTTGAACTTTTAAGAGGTGGAAAGCTGCCAAATTGTGTATTGCCCAGAGACTACCACCAGATAGCAGTGTTGTTTCTGTGCTTAATGAGGCAGGAATTGCTCTTTAGCGAAGTATCAGCCTTGTATTAAAGGAAGGCTAATGGAATTGACTTCCTTCTTGATAAAGGCTGGTATGTCTTCAGCTCACATATCTTATTAGAGCAATTAAATTTAAATTTAAAAAAAATCCTGGAAATTGTTTTAACTGATTTTGATGTTGAAATCAAATATATGGTGTCAGGTGATACCATGACAAGTTTGTGTTCATTTGATATCCTTTCTATAGCAATATTGTACCTTTATAATACCATGAGGTGTGTGCCCAATAAATGAAAAACCAAACCACTCTGCACAGTTCAGTCCATATTTCACAAATGTAACTTCAGTTTTGAATTAAATAGCCATTTCTTCTACCCTCAGCCTAAGCATTTGTCTGGTTGTCGGGGTTGGCACTCGACATTGGAGTGTGACTTCTAAGAATTTTTATGTCTGCAGGGTGCAAGAGTCATAACCTGTGAACTGTTCATAATTTTTTTAATAGTGCAGTTTTTGACTGCATGTTGCAAAATTAACTGTGATGTCACCTTGCCAAAGACTAATGCAGAAGTTCCAAGAGTGAATAAAGGAGCTGAAATATTACTGGCTATGCAGTTATCTTTGGACAGTCTCCAGGCTGAAGATGTTTTTTCATTGTAAACTACTAGAGGTCTCAGTGTGAGACTATTTCTTTGGACCCACCACAGGGACCCCATGAGTGCCAAACCTAGAGGGGGAGGAAAATTATTGTCAAATACTCAAGGAAACCCAGCAAGTGTGGTCTCATCACCACATAAATCCTCACGTAAGTCAGTTTTGCTGCATGGTTTCTTTGTTAAGCCCTCTCTGTAAAGCTACAGTGTCAAAAATTTGAAGTCAGAACAAAAATGTATGAAAGACTGCCTTGGGCAAGTGGATTTCAACTCTGAGTGCAAGTGCAGTACATCTTTGTTCAAACAGATGAACACTGTATAATTAACTTCATTATTTTCTCATTTAAGAATAGCTGCTTTACTCCTGGTTATTCAAAGTGTGATGTATTAGCACGCAGGTTGTTCATCAGTAGCTACTGGCACTAAAATGTCATTGTTGCATGAAAGTAGAAAGAGAGCCAAATGATTGATGAAGTGTTTTGTTTTATATGTGCTCCAAGGATTAGAACCTCTGAAACTCTGCCTGTATCAGCAATGTAAACAAAATATTCCTTCCAAGGAATTGACTTAAAGATGATGAGTGGATATCTTACAGTGGCCAGCAGGTGCTTACTGTCTTGTCCTTGAGAGTACCGAGAAGTACAAACACCCCTCTTCCCCAGTCCAATTTCAGACTGAGTTTTGATAGTTCTGCCTTATCTCTTAATGTGCCACCTATGACCTTTCCAAAGCACCAATTTCTTTGACCAGATTGGGGAAGTCCAGAGTCATGCTCTAGAAGGTATAGAATACATGTTTGAATGTATTCTTTTAAATAAAATAGCTTTTAAACTATTTTTCCCCCCAACTCATATCTTTGCCCTTAGCAAATGCAGTTTTCTCAGTGTATCATTCTGAGGTATTGTGTGCATACTGCATGTTGAACTAAATTTGTCAACCTTTCAGCCAGTGCATTACTATTGAATTACAGAGAATTACTATTGAGATGAAAGTGTGCATATAGAAAACTCTTCACTTGGGCTAGTAGAATCCTCTCACTTCTTCTTGCTCTCTTCAGGTCTTTCTCATCTGTCTTGGAAAATAAGAAGAGAAAAACTGTTATGACAGCAGTAGTTAGCTTAAGATTTGTATTTGCAAGCAGTTTCAAGGGATGCCTTGCTCTTTTACTGTTACTGGGCAAAGCTATACTTTCTCCAGCGTGGTGTGAGAGTGACTTTGCAGAAGAAAGGGAAAGAGGGATAACGAATGCTATGCTGAAGTTCTTGCCAATTATGTGATGGCCTCTTCATTGGGAAGAGAATTTTACTCGTCTAAAAATTAGGACAAGTACATTGCAGCAAAGGGAATCCAGTATGGTATCTCCCAAAATATCTGCCAAATCTCATTGCAGAAAAGTTAAGGAAAGAAAGCACTCTGAGAAAGGCGCTGTTAGTGCTCTGTGCAAAATCTTCTCTAACTGACCTAAAAGTGAAGAAACCAGCAGTGGTAAAAGCTGTAAGACTGCTAACACAGTAGGAACTACAGGAGCACTCAGTTTAAAAAGGGGACAACAAAAGAACATTCTGTAGTAGATGGGCACCTCCTATTTTTCTCTTGAAATGAAAAAATTAGAAACTTGGTAGGCTGGTGCAGAGAGCTTGTTGGTACAACTTGGACATGGAGTAATTTGCCTTAATACTTAAAAACGTCTCAACTTCCTACTCCTCTGCCCTAAATAATCCAACCCACTCTGCTAAGAAAATCCCAAAAATCCAACACCATAGTCACTGCTGTGAGCATAATTGCTTAACTTCTTGCTTAGACACCTGCCTGTTGGTTTGAGACAGTGATGCTGTGGCCTTTTGGACCACAGCAAACTGTACATTATCCTGTCCAGGTCCATGGAAGCCTTTTGGTGACTCTCAGATATGGCTTGTATATTCCTTGCTTTTTGACTGTAACACAGGCTCCTTTGGTGAAGTCTCACTTTCTGCTTCTCTTCTCCTAAATGCCCCCTTCCCTAGACGTCTGGAAACTTCCCTTGTCCAAAAGAATTGGACCATAAAAATCTCACATCAGTTCCTAGATTTAGAAAACAGCCTCTGAATCTTCTGGATCTTCTAAAGTATTACAGCCAATTGCTGGCTGGTAACCAGTTGTGTTTGAAGCAGCAATGTGGCTGGCACAAGTGACCTTTAACAAAAGTTTCCTAGATCTTTAATGATGAGGGAATGAGTCTGATCTTGATAATTATTAGCTGGAGAATATCTTAAAGCTTAAAGCCCCTGAACAGAACAGAGAGCAGATGTTCTTGTTGGCTTGTACAATGCCTGGTGAGATGCAGCGTTCTGCTGTGCTGAGAGTCAGTCTAAACAGACATGGTGATTCATTGGAGTCCTGAGGAGCTTCTGTTACTTTTAGGCTCTCAAGATCAATTAAAGGTGACTTACTAGCCAAAAAGTAAGTACACATACATAGTAGAAAAAAGATACGGTAGGGTGCAGCAACTGGAAACTAAAGCCATACTACTGCAGACAGAAAAGGTTCTCTTTAGCAGTGGAAGAAATTAACCTTTGGAAAAAGTGATGAAAGGGTACTGGTGACTTCCATACCAACAGAGCTGTTCATTCAAGGCTGCTTGTCTTTCAGACAGGATTTTTCTGATTTTCAAGAATAAGCCTTATGTCCCATATTTAGACATTTTGTTGGACTGGCCTTCTCTGGGCTTAATGCATGAGCACTAACATCTTAAGTCTCTGCTCTGTACATCAGCTTCAGTTCTGCTTTTGATTCTGTTAATGTTGCTCATGGCCCCTGAGCACGGTGCTGATGGAGAAAATTGGCCTACCATTTCTAAACTTTATGGTACTTGTTGAATTTTGAACTGACATTTGACATTCCCAAAGCAAAATTTGGAAAGGTGTGCTTTTTTTCCCCTACAACATAGATTCTATATTTGTTGGCGTCAAACATAATTGGAGGCAAACTACTGAAGCCAATGCTTGCTTGTTGTATTTTTGATGAGGAAAATGATGACTGTCTTAGGGGCTGGGATCAGGATATCATATGTTTTTAGAAGACCTTTAATTAGTAAAGTGGTAAAAATGGTCTGAGAAGAGAAAGCTTGGATGGTGAAAGAAATTTTTTAGTGAGACCAGTGATTTAAAACAAACGATCTTTGGAAAAAAAAACTTATACAAGGGGTTTGCATTGGGTTTTTGCAGCTGACAGGATGGTTTCTTTGTCCCTCTTGGAGATTTCACCTTCTTTTCCATTTCCCTCCCACTCTTCCAACTCACACACATCTTTGCTTGGTTTTACTGGTGTTTATCCATTAGCCAGTTTGTGTAATACTGCACACAAGCATTTCTTGCAGAAGGTAGCTGAAGGTATGGCTGCTGTCATTTGCATTTTTGAGGATTGTTTTCAGTCTTTACTACAAAAGACATCCCTGTTATGACAATGATGGATGGGAATATTTAAGAAATTACATTTTAAAAATGGGAATTTATTATGTACAAGTGACAATAATGGTCTTCTCTGGCCTCCAGGTATTTCTCGAAAATTATGAAAAGTAGAAGCAGTTTTCTTGAAACTACTGGGTTGTGATACTTTTGGCTGAAAATCTAGAAGTGGTTTGGCCTTGAAAAATATTAAAAGTTGTAAGCAGAACTGATGGAAATCAAGATTAACCTTCCAGTTTGGCTTGCCTAAATTTGTAATACTAGCAAATTTTTTCATGATCATTCTTAAACTAAATGGAGCCTCTGCATTATCTGTGGGTAAGTGCTTTTCTTTCTTCTGAAACATAATTTTAGGCTGGACTGAGTTGAAATTGGCATCATTCCCTGTGCTCCCCATGATATCAAAGTGCACCATATATTTTAACTTTTTAGTAGCTTCTGCCAATGAAAACATAAGTTATAATTAATAGTCTCAGCAGTTTTGCTGCCAAGGGTTCCTGGCCACAATTCTTAGTTTGTTTTATGCTGCAGATGCCTACTTCTGAACCTTGTTAACAATTTTTTTTCCTTGCCAACGTGCCAATGATTAAAGGCTGCTGCTGGCCAAAGAACTAGCCCTACTCAAAAAACAAAACAAAACAAAACAAAAAAAAAAAAAAAAAAACCCCAACAAAAAAAAAAACCCAACCAAACAAAAAAACCCCATGGCTATGAAAGAGTTAATTTGATTCTGAAAAAATATTTTTGAGATAGCAAAACAGGAGCTAAGTACAGAAAAGGAGCTAAGAACCTTGTTGAGGTTAAAGCACCATCTCACATATCAGTCAATTAATTTTTCTAAAATAGTTTTTTCTGTAGTGTTCAATATCGCAGATGGAATGTGTTCTGATGCTGAAAAATGACTCTACACAATAAATGTAAGGGCTAGTAGGTTGAGGTCTTATCTCTTTGCTCTCAGGAGCATCATGTAATTAATTGCCCTAATAATCTCAGCCCTATAAGACTAGTAAAATTTCTTCCAAAGTGATATGATACTTTTAAATTATTCAGGTATATATGTGTTTCTAAATATATGATCTGATTTCTGACTGTAGAGGTACTTTGAGAAGTGGAACTCTAACACAAGACCTTTAAGAAAAGGTAATTTTTCTTGCCAAAAAATTAGGTCTGGTCTCCCTGGAATTTTTTCATTCTCTATTTGTGGGGTTAGACCACACAGAATGGTTTTATATTATTGACAACTAAAATTGGCTGACGAACTTGATTTTGCTGAATTTGATGTTAGACAAGTGTTTTCATATCCTGTAGAAGTGTTTAAGTTTTTTCCCCCTGCATTGCCTTCATGGTAGTCTTGCTAATGTAACATAAGCTGGATATTGGTGTAGCAAGACTCTGATGTCTTGTTCAGCCCTTTGCTTTTCTCCCAAAGAAGCTTTTATTCTGCTTATATCATTTTTTGTGACTGAGCCTTCTGTGGAAAGTGCAGTGTGAGTGGTTCAAACACTGTAGCTGATCAGATGCTGTTTATGTAGGGCATCTGATTAATGAGCACATGTCTGAGTGGGATTAATTCTGTAATAAGTGCCTCACACAGGCACAAATCTAAGGAATGGATCCAGGCCATCTTACTCTATCATCTTATTCTGTAGTGCTTAGTGACTGAGCTGAGTGAAATTTCAAGTGAAAACCTCAGAGTTGAAAAACCTGTGTGTAACTGATGTCTTTTCTAGTATTGTCATTTCTATACTTTTCTCTACTTTTTCAGAACAATAATGATTTGAAAAGAGCTAATTAAATGTTTTAGTGATATTTATTTAGTGCAGCGTTTTGTGAGTACTTGAGATGTCCCCGCAGACAGTGGCTAAATGTGTCTGAAATTTAGCTTTGTCTCATTTTTAAACATGTCTTTTTGTTCACCTGGTAATGCACTACTATTTTAGTATCTAAATGTTCCTCATACACATTTTGTATTTATTATACTCCTCTATACTAGGTCAGCCTTATCAATAGAAGATCTGAAGTGCTCATGTAATTAAGGAATCTCTCTTTGCTTCAGTCTTTTAATAAATTCTATAATAGGCTTAGCTCTTAGGAGGGTGGTGTTTCCTATTTTTAGAAGCACTGCTGTATTTGATGAGTAATAGGACTGTCATCTTAGCTATTTCTTTAAATCTTGTATTTAAAGGGGGAAAAATCTTCATAGAAATAAACTTCCCAGATTAGAGTATGTTAAATGTTCTAAACTGAACTTCCGCTGCAAGGACAAGTTTGCATCTAACTTGTATCTCAGAAGTAATTTTTGCTGTATCAGAGGTGTTGGTTTGAGTGCTTGGCAAGACAGCCTGAGGGTCAATGGCTTATTCTTGTCACTACCATACAACTGAATCACAGGAGTCTCTTGTTTAGCAACCAAATGGAACGTGAATTAAACAAACATTCCTGATTTGCTGTGACACCAAGAGGACCAGCCGTACTGCTATGACGATTCCATCAGCAAGGCATTCCATCTGTCCTGAGAAGTGACAGATGAGCTGTGGAACAGCTGGCCAGCTGCAAAGACTGGTTTGTAAAACATGATTATCTTGGTCTGTTATGATTCGTAAAGCTTGAGGATAGTGATTGCTTGCAACTTTGGCAACATTCTCTCCTTGCTTGCGCTCCCCACTGGACTTGCACCAGAGGAGAACCAAGAAGTAGTGAGATTAGAGGGGCTGAAGCTGTCAGTGCTATGTTTGACCTCCTATCTCAGCATGCTTGTGCTGGTTCAGGTGCAATAGCAGTAAAACTGGTGTAGAGAGCCTGCACTGAAACCTGAACCTTCCAGGTGGAAGGTAAATCCCTATATGCTGCAGTGTATTTCCAAGTGTGGGAACTCTGGTGAGGAGTAGATTTGTGTGGGTCCATTTTGGTCCATTTTATTATTATTGTCATTAAGATATGTGTCTTCCTCTAAGTAAGAATTAAAGTCAACATTGCTGCAAATGGAATGGTGTTTGTGCTATGACATGAGTGTAAGCTATGGGAGGACAATAGGATGTAGGTTACCTCCTGGAGTTAAATTAGGCTTGAAAACATAAGTAGAGAAGAAATCTTGATAGAATAATTGAGAGATTCCTACTCTTAATTATCCTCAAATGGATCCTACCTCTAGGGGTCTTGAGCTGCTGCAGGAAGAGCCTCTGCTTTGAAGGTCAGCCTTCCCCAGTGAAGGCTTTCAAGAGGCAGCTCTTGGCCTCTGTGGCAGCTATGGAAGATGCTTCAGGACTGCTGAGCAGTGGAACAGAAAGTCCTCCTGTTAGTATCAAGAACAAGTGAACAAAAAACTGCTTATTTTTCCTATCATAATTTGACCAGTAAAAAGCAAGTTTTGACATCTTGACAGCTTTCATTGCTAGAATATTATTTTGATCAAATAAGCAGTAAGAAATAAAGGGGGTTTTTTTTGTCTTCTCTGTTCAGGAAATAGGGAAAAAAAATAGTGAGAGAGAGCAAACATATTGACTTGGATTGTGAAGTGCTGAAACCACTTGGAACTATAAGCTTTCTGTCTTTGCATGGCTTCTTGCTGTAATTCTTTTCCAGTTTAGTGGTTTACCTACAAGCATATATCCAGCAGGACTGTGCAACCCCATGGGCAGAAGAGCTGGCAACCATTGTGTTTGTGTGGAAGAACTGATGGGGCATGCTGTCCTGTGAAAAGTTAAAGTGGAAAATCAAAACCTGACTGTCTTTAAACAAAAATATAATCTATTTGCTCTCTGCAAGAGCTCACTAGATTTCACAGGTGGACAGTGGTATCTCTTTGCTCGTGCTCATTGCTGTAGTCTGCCATCCAACAAGAGCTGATATAGTCCACATTCCAGCTT